TCTCTCTCTCTCTCTCTCTCTCTCTCTCTCTCTCTCTCTCTCTCTCTTTCTCTCTTTCTCTCTTTCTCTCTCTGTGCCGAACCTATCCGCACGGCTATAACGATTCACTTTTTCTCTCTCTCTCTCGCTCCAGCGCGAATAAAATGCTATATATGTGAAAGATATTTCGTACCGTCGCGACGCTCACGTATTAACCTTTTATAGGGCACCAGAGTATGCCATTTTATTTATCACTCCATACAGCTGGATACGCGTCCGATGGCGGGACACGTCAGCTGAGAGGAGAGCGATATTTTATCACTCGGAAACTATAAAAGGAAAGACAAAATTTTTCTGATAAAAATCACATGGCGTATATCCGCTTAATGCCGGTGTTTGAGTGGGGATTTATTAAAAATTCACTCGCGCGACTGAAAACTCGCTCTCTTTTCCCTTCCCCTCTGTTTTTCCTTCTTCCGAACGCGAAACTGCAAAAAGAGACAAATGAAATCAGACGCTGATAGACAAAAAAATTGTAAAATAGAAAGAACATCGACGTAAAAATAGCTAGTCTTGTAACCGATACGAGTCGCGTCTGAAAGATACTCGAGAACGTAAGACGAGGCTTCATTAGCGACCTGTCTCTCAACTCCACGTCGACCTTTAATCCCTCATTCGACCGCGTCGATTACTCGGCTAATTATCTCCGATGACGTTGCTGCAAAATCACCGGTGTGACGGAAAGTACAGACGTGGAGCGAGTTAACGTGAGAGCGAGAGAGAGAGAGAGAGAGAGCGTGCGCAAAAGGGAGAGAAGATCCGGAACACGTGCGTCTAGCGACGGGGCGAGTCTCGGATGCAGATATCAAGCCAGGCGCCTGTAAATCTGCCAGGGACCGGTGTGAAACGCTGGGTGGTTGGATTAGGCGAGAGGCAGAGGTCGAGGACTGGTCGACCACCTAGTCGGAAGCACCGCCATGAACTATTGCATTTGATATCCAACGCCGATGAATGGAAACGTTGAGCGCCCTGTCCAGCCGCGGTGCCGCCATCTCTGACCACGATGAACGGTGAATGCAGGTATAATGCCCCGTCGTGCTTCCGCCAACTATGATAACCAAGTATTTACGGCCGCGCCCATCGCGCACGAGTTTCTGTAATTTACGGAGAGACTCGGAGAACCCGACCGACGTCGTCGGACCGTGTGTGTGTGTAACGGGCGTTTTGCGCGTTTTTTTTCCTCCGCAAATTTCGCAACTTTTCCGGATCAGCGACGAAACAGTGTGGCACTGCGCTCCGTTCTGCGAGTTCTCTTGGATAATTTGTGTGTGTGTGTGCGGCGCATACGAATCTCCCGCAACCAGCGGAATTTTAATAACAGTAGAACTTGAGATTATTTTTAGAAAAAAGTTATTTTTTAAAAAAATTTTTCAAAAAACATTTAAATATCTAATATTAACACACGCATTTAGAACAAGTGTGACAATAAGAATCACAATCTCTGCTCGGGCTTTACTTAATTTTAATTTATGATTCACACAACGGGGGGAGAGGAGCTTTTTCTCATTTGTCATTGTTTAAATATTCACCTCGTAAATTACAGTTTTTTTTTTGTTTAATGTCAAACTATATTTTTATTATGTAACGTGACACGAGAGATTTTTCTTTGTTACCGCCACCATCCGTCCCGGAACTCTAATAGCGCTAATGCCGTCGCGCGTACGGCTTCCAATACAGTCAGAGAATCCCTCGGAACGTTCGGTTCACACAGGCCGTGCGCGCCACCACCAACGGCGCGCATCCGTCGTAACTTGTTTTGCGTGACAGCTTTCCCGACTTTCCCGACGTCCGCGACATATCCCAGGAAACATTCGGCTCAATTTCTACTTCTCAATTTCCGGCCGGAGTCGCTTCCTCTTCGCGGCCTCGCCCCCCGTTTTCCCGTTGGCGGTCTCTCCTAACTTTTTGACAGGTCGCTCTCGGACAGAAACGTAAGTATAGAGATTTCAACGAACTTAGTTCGTGCGCGGCGACACACCGCGATCTTGCGAAGAGAGACCGAGAATTAGAGAGGACCACGTTGCGAAAGCTGTGATTAGACCGGACTCGTAAGATTAATTTTCCGGACAAAAGCGTGTGTATGTAAGACACACACACACACACACACACACATATATATTGTATAACGAGAATAACTGGCGACGGCGGCGGTTCGGAAAGGCGCGTATACGAGTTTTACGACTTTACACGAGAAGTCCATCTTGGATCGTATATTTCCACACTCGCGGCATTCAGACCGGCGTCAGAAAAAATCCGCGGCACGAGCGCCTTAAATCAGCGCCAGTCGGCACCTTTGATTATAGCCCCTCGCTACGTGGGGCTACGCGACTTCATAAACCCTTCGGACGCGACCCAGTTTCGTTCGTGTTGTTGCGTTTTATATTGATGTGTAATTTTTACGATCAAATTAAAAAAGAATGTTTTCGAATTTAAATTGGACACCGAATGTGCACAAAAAAAAAAAAAAATCATCGCGCGGATATCCGAAAAATTACTCCGTTTTCTCTTTTAACCACGCTATTGTAGAGAGAATATTAAAATTTTGCAATATTATTTTCCGAGTCTTCTGTTAATTAGGTTTTACTGTCGAGAAACATTGAAAGCTGTTGGAGAGTTCGCTGGCGGCGCGCAGCGGCGTGTCTTGAAATATACAAAAGAAATTTTAATAAAATAGAATTTCAGAAATTTTCCATTTTGGAACGACACGGGGAGGAAACGCGGGAGAGCTACCAGATCTCGCGTAAAAGTGAAACAAAGGACTCCCGAGCCGCCGTAATCTTCTCGCAACGACCCGTCATAAATTCGTGTCTTCACGCGAGTGTCTTCGCGAAAATGCAACGTACATTGCACGTTGAGAATTCGCAGCGAGCGAAATCAAACGGAGCCGAAGCAATTCCGAAAAATTCGAAGTCTCTCCTCGCTCTTCCGGCGGAATATTAAACT